GAGAGAGAGAGAGAGAGAGAGAGAGAGAGAATTAATACTAGTAAAAAGAAGAGCCGGAAAAAATATTATTTTAAAAGTAAGCAGAGAACAGAGTGCACATATTTAATGGCGGATTTGTGTTTGTCCGGAATAAACAAATTAAATATGAACATATCTTATACACTAAAAAATATCCGCAGATTTTTGTCACATCCAATACGTACCAATATTTAATATTCATCGAATGTCTTCAGGACATTATTACTAATTCAAGACATCCAAAAGATCGTAAGGAATATCCTCAGATGTATTCTATATTAGAACAATTTATTTGATGCGTTAGTTAACCGTGTAAATTGTATCGCTGCAGTGGAAAATATTTTGAATAAAACATTAGATCATGCATAAATATGACAAGGAAGTAAAAATTCACGTCCCAAATTTTATTTAATTGATTTTAATAACAATCAATAATTAATCTTTCAGGGTACAATGGTGTGCTTATCTATGAATGGGATATTACGGTTTGCCACGGAGAAATATATTCTGATATTGAGCTGCGATGTATTGTTGCAAGAGGAAAGGTAAGCACAGTGATTTATATTTTTTACACTGAAGAATGAAAGCATGACTGATGGTACCGTTAGACTAATAGTGCCGCAGCAGAATTTTATTTCTCTAACGAAACTAGACCCTCGAGAACACCAGCCGGATCTTAAATGATGGAAATGTGATTTGATAAATGGATTATATAACAAGAAATAGAATGTCTATACAAGTCTGTAACTAGGTGTGTCGTTTAGATAAAAATGTCATATAGAATGGAAAATTGCACATATTAATTTCATATGTTATTTTGTGTTTAGTTAACTACACAAAGAAATAAAAAGACGTATATAAAGTGCAAATAAAATTGTATTATAACAACAAATTGTTAATTGATAAAACAACAAGAATTGTAAGAGTACTTTGCATGTATTATAAAAAAATATTCAGAATAGTTTTTAAAAGCTCCCATGATACTGAATTAGAATTGCAGCTAATCCTGACATAAACGAAACAAATTCCAAGAACAATATGAAAGACATTAAAAGCAGAGAATAAAAGAACAATTTGATTGAATAGTATAAATTTAATTATTCAACGGATAATTGTATGTGATTCGAAGTTCCGGACGGTTTGTGATTCAAGATAAGAACGCAGACAGTTTCGATAAATCACGAATGACGTATTACGAGTTTAATAACGGGAACTGCCATAAAGCTTATATAAAAAAAAAATTCCTTTGCACGTCGATCTTTGACTTTAATGACCTGACAAAAATTTATCGTTGGAAATACATCCATAGCCTGCACATGGCATCGTGATTTTACGCGTGGTAAATGCATCTTAAATCGTCGTCGTCGGTACGCAAAATAATTATCAATTGCGGTCGGGCTAATAAGGGGCGCAAATACTCAATGATGGTACGAGCAAAAATAACCTGGAACGTACAACATAGCTTTCTATCCTTTTTACCAAAGGAAGTAAGTTAATGATTTGCAGCTGAGAAGTAGAATTATCTCGTTCTAGTGGGTTACGCGGTCGAGATATTATCGATAAAGTTGTAGCGGACGATAATTTTATGATATAATTAATGCATCAAAGATCATGCAAATTTTGAGTAAAGCCATGTTATGATTAAAAATCGCGACTTACAAAGTTTCCAAAAATGGAATAAATAAATGAAGAAATAGAGGAAACTATGGACACGTAATCAATATTTTAATCAATATTTGAAAAGTTACTGAGCAGAGAGAAAATCAAATTGGTAAAAACGGTGATTCTGGACGAAAGGGTACGTTCATGTTTGAGTTATAATAAATAATAAAAGCAGCAATACTAGTGTAGCGGTGAAAAATAATGCATTCATTCACATGTGAACTTTTATAATGGAACAACTATTTTATCACTGCATTGTAGATAAGCAGTGATAAGAGCGTTGAGAATCGCTAATTTGTTTTTCGGCACTTTTGTCGATGGATGTAGACAATTTTATTATTGAAATATTTGTTAGGCCACCTTTATGAGGACCAGAAGGAATCATTATAGAAGTCACTATAAAAGATGACGTTTTGGATAAATTATAGACTGAGTGTTAATAGCATGTGCAGTACATTTGTCTTTTGCGCAGGATTTTGATAACATAATATTTTGTAATATTTGAAGATAGTAATAATTCTTTAAAATCGCTCATAGCTTAAATTTGATCATTGCTTCAACATGAACATACTCTAAGCATTATGATAGTAGATAGTAGTTGTATGAAATAACGTTATTGAAAAAATTTGATTACGTTCACGCATGGATCTTCGGCAATGGACCAAGATAAAATATAACGGCATCATTGACGGTACCTTTCTGCTAAAAACGAGATGTAGGAATACGCTGTTCATCTTCTCTTCCTCTCTTGTCCTACTTTGGATCGTGTTTTCTAAAAAGTAGGTCATTTATCCATTTGTGTGCATGCGATGGTCACGGCTCCAATTAATTATTTAACCGAATATATTCAGCCAAATGGTAAAACGAAAAACAACAATACGAGATAATTACGGCCATTTGAATAAATCAGAAGAAGAATGCTCTGTATATATTTCAATTTCGAGAATGCTCTAAACATAAAGCATACAGAAAATTCCTCCTATTAAACATATATTCATATATCTATATCAAACAATTAAATGTATATTTTTATTATATTTTCAAATTAAATGTACTATTTTTTTCTTACAATTAGAATAAAATTAAGTGAGCAATATGCGCTAATTTTGTATTTTCTTATAATTTAAATATTCAAAATTTTAACATTATTAAAACGAAACTATCAGTAACTTAACGCAGCGACGATTAATATTAATATAAAAATTTTAATATTCCCAGAAAAATATAGTTCATATTTAATGTTGAATGTATATAATTTATTATACTCTGTCACTTGAAGTTTCTTAGTTATGTATAGACGAAGTACAAAGTAGTATGTGGCTTAATATCAATATACATATTTATAGAGCATACATTATACATATACGATAACTAAAATATGTTTCTAATTAAATGTATTTAGAAAAATGTATTTAGAAAAAGAGAAAAACCATATGCTGGGATTGCTAATGACATGCATAAATAAAATTAATAATAACGATTTACCGATAACATGTTAATATTGATATCAAAAACTTTTTATAATATATATTTTTTATATATTTATATTTAACACACACACATACACACGCGCGCATACACACACACACGTATATACACGGATGTTATTTATTATTATTAACTTACAACCTTTAACACTACAACCGTTAACACTACAACCTTTAACACTACAACCTTTTTAAAGTAGGTCTTTACTTCCACTATACATGAATTTATTAACTCAAATAACACATAGGTGATAGTTATAAATTATAAAAGGATTATTTCTAAATTCTTTATGAATTAGCGTGATATCTGTTCCAAATAAATTTCAAAAAGTTATTTTCATTGCGAATTCTTATACAGTAAAAAGTTCAAAAATTCATTTTGCATCCGAAAAAGAGTTCAAATTTGATGATATAAAAGCGAACTCTTTTTAGATTCTATGTGCTATCTGGAAAATATCTTTGCAACTCGCGTAAAAAGTAAACGTATAAACTTTAAGCTTAAAATAAAATCTAATATAGACTCACAATTATCTCGCTCTACAATGTTTTTAAAACTCTTCTAGTATTGTCTTTATTATACAGAAATAATTGGACGAATATAGAGTATGTTGTTATAAAACTACACTGTACTACGCTGTTAATTAAAAGAGTAGTTGTATTTATCCTAGTAACATGAAAGGTTTATAAATATATTATGTTTTTGACGCTCGTGTTACATCTTAAGGATTTGTAACACCTATTTTATAAAAATTATTTTTTTAAGTTACAACCGTGCGATGTTCGGTATATGTATAAAAAAATTTTCGAAGTAACGTAAAAAATGTAAAATATAGGTATACATATAATTTTATTAGATTATCAGATCGCCAGCATTATTTAATTTTGGGAAATATTTATATTAAATATATTAAAACTAAAAAATAAAATAAGATGAAAAAGATCAAGCTAGGTCCACACATGGACATATCGTATTGTAATCACGTACACTGAGAAAAAAAAACTGTTTTTAGTCATTTCAATAACTTTTATTTCTCAATGTATTATGATCAGACAAGTGTAAACGGGATACTGTATCGTATGTAGGTATTGTACTTGCATATCAAGGTGAGACATAAATATGATATAACTCATGATCTACTTGAAGTGGAAACATAGGCATAATATATCTAGACTGAGCGTTTACCATTATTTGAGCAGTGGAGGTAGAGGTTCACATAGAAAAGGACAAACTCTGTTTTGTGCTATTTCGTTCTCTTTCGTTCGCATGTAAACAAGAGAGAACGAAATAGCACAAAATAGCAGGGTTGAGTAAGTTACCTTTTTTTTAACTAAGTTAAGTTAAAATTAACAGCCTTGAAAATTTAATTTAGTTAAAATACAAGTTAATTCATAATACAATTGAATTAAAAATTAAGTTAATAATAAAAAGAAATTACAAAGTTAAAAGTTAATTTATTTTATTTTTACATAAAATCTTAGAGACTTACGATCACGTAAATTGCATTGAATTTTGCGACTAGCGTTTGAACAATCACTACACAGAATATAGTCCATTTCATATGTAAACAATTTCACGTGAGTTCGTGAATCAAAACTCTCTAATGGCTGTATTCCACAACGCATTATCAGCGCTGAAGATCTATAGTACACATATACAGTAGATTTTAGAGTTGGCAGTGAATTTTGAAATACAGAGACTACCAATGTAGGCAGACACACGGCATCCCGGGACTAACTTCTGGTTAAGTTAGTCGACTCTCTATCTTTTTGTATATTATTATCTAAACAGAGACAGAGTTGACTAACTTCTGGTTAACAATCAACCAGAAAATGAAAAATCGGGCCTAAGAGATAGGTAACTTAAAAGTTAACAGTTACCGATAAAATGTAACAAAATTTAGTTAAAAGTTAACAATCTATAATGTAACTAAATTAAGTTAAAATTATTTAACTTTTTAACTTTATAACTTAACTTTTATCTTTTTAACTAGGCACTACCCAACTCTGCAAAAGAGAGTTTGTCCTTTTCTACGTGAATCTCTACCCCCGCTGCTCAATGCTCGGTTTAGATATATTATAATATGTGTATGGGTGGAAAATTGACAAACAAATACAAATATACGAGATACGGATATGGGTTTAAAACAATGTCTTGGCGTATCTATCTTCATAAGCAGTATATTCACGGGCAGAGGTGATCATGATATATGACAGTGACGACACATGTCTGGACCTAAGCTTTAGAGATTAAGACATGTTTTAAATTTATTGGTTTTTCAGTTTATCATTAGAGATTTCAGCAGAGATGCCGTTTATTTCTGCCTTTGTCATTTTAATTGCTGGTTTTTTCTTGATGTATGTCTTGTAATAAAAATCTCCGAATAATATAATCATAAACAAATTCTGCGGTACCATTACGTATGCCGGCCATATTGGGAAACCGCAGTTTTTCACCCAGGCTAATTGTAAATAGTGTAAAGTGATAATGAAAAATTGGACCAGCTGCAGCTGAGTGATGTACTTTTTCCACGCGCTTGTGTCTATTTTCATAGACGCTAACAGATAGTGCGTGTACATTATTATGTGAACAAATGTATTAAGTAATCCTGAAATGCAATGGTATTAATTGTTATGAAATAGAAAATAATATAATATAAAATTTCTTTTGTTGACACATGAAACTGATTAGTCGATCATTTTTATATTATACTTCTTACACTTATATTGACAATTGTTATATTAAAAGAAATAAAATTTACTTAATCATATCACTAAATAAATTTACGATATATTTCAAATTGAAAGATATAAATGAAAAAACATTTATTACCATAAATAAAATTTTTGCACTTTTTATACGTACCTAAGAAAGTAACGTGACCACCAGGCAGATATTTAACGGCACCCCAAGCACCCATTAAAATGCCAACATGATGATATAAGTGAAGAAATGTCACTTGTGACTGCTTCTTTCTAAGTACGAAAAAGATGGTGTCCATCAAATCCATTAACTTGACCAAGAAATACACCCAAACTAATCTGGTGATCTGTGTAGTAGAAAAGTGTATATAAGTATGTACAATAGACATTTATCCATTAATTTTCTTGTTTATATCTTAATTTTATGTAGATAAACGTAAAGACATTTGTCTTTATATAAACTTCTAAAAAATTGTTACAGTAATATAACTATTACTTTCGATTGTACAAGTATATTGATAATATAAATAAATGTAGTTGATATCTTAAAATTCAACAATTCTATAGCAAAGGTCAATTTTTAATTGATTGACTTTTTCTTACAATTACCTCTATGGTCTTTGGTGTGACCGAATAATCGATTGGCTCGCAAAAGTAATTATAATGTCCTAACCAACCTACTGTTAATGCCTGAAATGTACAACTGCAAAGTAAATTTTTTCAAACAAAGTGTAAGTATAAGAATCAGAATTTAAATACTACGTGCACAATATGTTTTAGTTACTAAATACCAGGAATTAGTAAGAAACAATTTTTATATTCATATCAAATGTCATATCAAAATTTATATCAAATTTTGTGCATAATAAAAAATATTTTTTCATTTCCATATCTTTGTAAAACAAACTAGAAGTTAAAGTAAGTAATTAAAAATGTAATGCGACTTACTTTGTAAAATAAAAATGCATTTGATAAAATTTGGAACACATTATATATTTGTAATATCTCGTTTAATTTAAAAGGATGTCTTTTTTCCATATATCTCGGTCCAAAATTACATATAAAATATAGATACAATCCAATCAAAGTTAGGCCAGGCCATGGTGAGCCGATCAGAAAATAATCTTTCGTACGTGGATCTTGCAATAAAAGTAAATAAAATCAATAAAAGTATATTATTAAAAATTTATTAAATTTTCTTATAGTATATTATACAACGTACTTTAAATATATATAACTATATTCCAAATATCTTAAACCAATTGAACATAGAAAATTCCTTATACAGGGTGTGTCCTAATACCCGTATGTCCCGTAGATGGTGGATAGGCCGGGGCAAACTGAATAGAAAAGTCCTATACCATTTTACAAAATTCGCAATAGTTATCGAGAAATTAATTTTAATGTCTGAGCGAATGAGAGCGTAGAAGGCGGCAGGCTGGACTCGGCAGGCAACGGTGGGGCATCATCTAATAGCGAGAGGTGGAGCGGCGCGCCGAAAAAAAGTTGTCACGCAGCCCAAGGAGCGCCAATGCGCGTATAACGTGCGTTTAATGCGCATTTTACTGCATTGGCTTCTAAACTGCATTAATTGTGTGTTCAAAATGCGCGTTTTCAAATGCGTAATTAATGCAAATTGTATGTACACCTCGAAATTTTCTACAACCAATGGCGAACGCAAATCGCTAGGTCAACATTCATAACTGATTCTTATATTTAAGACCGTCTTAAATATAATCTTGAGTTCGAAAGCTGTTGCTTTTGTGATAATTATAATTAATTACATATATTAGCATAGTTTTTAAGTTTAATAGTTTCAACTAAAAGTTCCTAAGTGATGAAAAAGAGTAAATATCCTTTTTTCTACCTTGG